CTACTTTGACTTTCCATGCCGTCAGGGTTCTTACGTAGTTGAATCTGACTCCATCATTGTTAGTCAGCAAGTTAGAACTTACTACGTTTTATAGGTAGAATCATCTAATGATTAAAGGACAATTATTTCGAAATTTCGGGCTTGCTGGGGTCACATCTTCACTCAGAGTGAGTTTTGCGCAGCTATTGCATTGCTGTCTTTCATATATAAATATACCAAACTTTCAGTCATCGCTTTAGTAACATCATCTATTTGCAAATTTATTATTTCATTCAAACTAACTAAAGGTTCGTTTCGCTAAAGTGATGCAATTTAGGAAGTGCACTCTCGTTTACATGCCAAGACTGGGACAGATTTATCTGTACTTGGGCAGGAGCTAACCTTCCGCAATGGTCGCACAGCTCAGAACCGGTTTCTCAAGGTGTAAAAGAAATCGATTGGTTTTAAGTGCATTATAATTGAAAAAAGCGTAGTTGTTCATAAATATTTCGCCGACTCTCGGGTTACTGCAGAATAGTTATGAACAACTGACACTCTAATTTGCCCCGGTTTAAAGGGGAAATATCATAGAAATTAATTTAGTAATTGCATAAGTTTGCATATATTGTTCGGATTTTTGTACTTTAAGTAAGCCCGAATACACTTGATTTTAGGCAGCTCTTACGGAAAGAACAGCCTCGTGGGATCCCAAAGACTACAAGAAACGAGGTATTCCCAACCAAAATATTGTCAATCTTTATGACAAATGGGGTCATGGCAAATTTGGCATAATACTTACTGGAAATGTTTGCGTGGATCCCGTAAGTGCCCTTTTTTCTTTTAACTATCTTTTCCACTTATTTCTATTTTCATAATGAATAGGCTAGATAGCCCTTGCAAGCAGAATATGTTTCCTAATTCGATTGTGCAGCCAGCCACGCGATGAGTTTTTGCTTGATTCCGACACATCACGTTATGAGCGCAGATCTTTGGAGTCTGTATATCTGTTCCAATTGGGATTGGTCAGAAGCTTAGGAGCCGAGACTTTGAGCACGCACCTCTCAGCTTTGCAGGAACTCTGATTGACCGCAGTGGTGGTTTGTAGCCGCCACGCAGATTTTGATACAAACAATTTTTCTTCTTTTTTGCGATCATGAGCGGTACGCGTGGTTCCGAGTGATCCTAATTGAAGCGGAATAGATTGATTTCGAATTTCTGTTACAAACTAACATTTTAGTGGAATTTGGAGTCGGCTGGAAATGTCGTATTTAGCAAAGAAAACGATTGTCCGGAACTTAGGAAAATTTGCTTGGACTGGGCTAGTGCAATGAAACAGGATGGAGCACTGGCCATAGCACAAATTTCACATGTGAGTTTTAAACAATTCTGTGCTGTGCCTCACTGGAGAACGTACGGCGGTCGCAGAAAATCTTCTAGAAGGGATGCGGAAAATTTGATTAAAAGGTCTTATAAAGTTAGATCATTTTTCTATCACATTCAAACTTGCATATTGCACTTTTGAAATTCCAAGACTATTCTTAGCCGTGGAGGGGAAGTAGATCCTTCATCCGTTGAAAATTATGTTTTTTTT